CCACACAGTGAGACCTTGTTTAAAAAAAAAGTACACTGGATTTAACTGACTTCTCTCCGCCTGAGTCTGCCTAGACACGCACATCCCAGCACTCAGGAGGGTGAGGCAGGAGGATTGCTGTGAGCTCGAGGCCAGCCTGGGCTACTCAGTGAGTTCAAAGCCAGCCTGAACTACATAGCAAAACCCTGTCTCAAAAAAAAAAAAAAAATCATTCCCTTGTTAACATTCAAAATGTTCCAAATACATAAATTCACATCGCAGAAGAGCTTTAAAAGGTGGCCCTGTCTGAACCATAAAGGCTTCCTTCCAAGAACAGGAATGTATTGGACGGACAAGAAGGTGCTGTCCTCTGACCACAGATCCAAAATCATTAGTCTGGGACTGAGCGGAGCTGTTTTGCAAAGAAGTCACCCAGGGCTAAGGCTCAGAGTTGCAGCCTTCCCCAGAAAGCACAAGGTCTGGTTCCCACCATCCCTGCTGGGAAGGGTCTGGCCCCATGGACAGCAGGGCTCTTGGGAGCCTGCGCGGCCCAGATGTTCATTTTCGCCTGCGGCTAGAACCCAGTGCTTACCACAGCAAGGAGATTTCCAAGGTAACCAAGGACAACAGAGTGGATAGAGCATTATGGCCCCGGAAGGAAATAGATTAAATTTTAATACTTAGGAGTTAACATCAAATTTAGTTCTAAAACTACATCAGTGCCAAATAAGCAAGGAAGCATGGATGGTGTTATAAAGGAGGGTCTGACTAAAAAACATGAACATTCCAAGCGCATATACAATTCTTCTCTATTTTGAAAATATTTCAAAGTGCCCAGAGGCTTAAAAAGACAAAGACAGAAACAAAACAAAAGGAAAAGAGCGGCGCACTTCTCAAATTTATGCCACAACTACTTATTTTCTCCATTATTTCCAAAGGCATGGGGCAGACTCCAGTGGCAGCCCCAGACTTTGCTAAGTTTGCTAAAATTGGAAAAAATAATTACTTCATCCAGAGAAAGTGATCACCAAGTGGGAATTTTATTTACTAATATTCCAGCTACAGATGTGAATTTTTTTTTTTTTTGGTACCGGGGATCAAACTCGGGATAGACGTGAAAATTTTAAAAGCACGTTTCAATTGGAAAATGACCTTTAGCAGACATGGCTTCCAATGGAAATAAATACAGTCACAAAGATTAATCCGTTTCCAGTTAGTTTACTAATTCGATAACATTTACTTAAACACAGGACTAAGGGCTTGCAAACTTTAAATTTATTTTATTTCTGCTAAATGCATAACTTTACCTCACAATATTGATTCTCTTGTCTCATCTCAGTATAAACAAGTATCTGCCATTAAAACTACTGGAAGATAAAATAGGTAAAACACTTGAAGACATAGGTGTAGGAAAGGATTCTCTAAAGACAGGCTCAGCTGCACGTGAAATAGCAGTGGCCAGGGAGTTAGCTCAGTGGTTCCGCCCCCTGCCTAGAAACCACAAGGTCCTGAGTTCGATCCCCAGTACCAAAAAAAAAGAAATAGCAGCAAGAATCAACAAATGGGATTGTATCAGACTAAAAAGTTCCTGTACAGTAGAAGAATCAATCAGCAGAGTGAAAAGACAGCGTACAGGATGGGATTAAATTTTTGCCAGCTACTCCTTAGACAGAGGACTAATATCTACAATATTCAAAAACTTAAACCACCTAAAACTAGAGATCCAGTGAAGAAATGGGCAAGAGTGCCAGGTGTGGTGGCACATGCATGCCTGGGGGCCGAGGTAGGAGGATCACTGTGAATTCAAGGCCACCCTGAACTACAGAGCAAGTCCCTGCCTCACAAAAAAGAAAGAAAAAGAAAAAGAAAAGAAATGGGCAAGAGAAATGAGCAGACGCTTCACAGAGGAAGAGATACAAATGGTCAACAAATATATGAAAACATGCTCAACACATCACTGCCTATTAGAGGAATGCAAATTGAAACAATGCTAAAATTCCATCTTATTCCAGAAAGAATGGCAAGCACTAAGAAATCAAACAGTAACAAATGTCCATGAGGCTGCGGTGAAAAAGGAACCCTCCTTCCTTGTCGGTGGGAATGTAAACTAGTACAATAATTATGGAAATCAGTATGGAGATTTCTCAAAGAACTGAAATTAGAAATTCCATTTGAGGGCCCAGGGAGTTAGCTCAGTGGTTCCACCACCTGCCTCGCAAGCGCAAGGTCCCAAGTTCAATCCCTGGTACCAAAAAATAAAAAAAAATTTTTAAAGGGCTTAAGCCATCCTACTACAGTGAAACATGCACACCAATGTTTATAGCACCACAATTTATAATAGCTAAATCTCGGAAGAAGCCTGTATACATAGCAACAGGTGATTAGATAAATAAAATGTAGTATCTATGCACAATGGAATACTACTCTGCTATAAAGAATGACAAATGTGAGACACTGGTAGAAAACGGGTGCACCTGGAAAATATAATGTTGAGTGAAATAAACCAGACACACAAGCCAAAATATCGTATGGTATCTCTCATTTGAGTGAGGCAAAGTACAAAGAGGATAATAAGGGTAGAAGGGAATATGTGGGTGGATCTCTTACAATAGGGAAGTGGACCAAGGGAACAAGGACAAGAGGTAAAGACAAGGGGAAAGAGAAATAAGTTGAATAAAGTCATGTCCTCTACAGGAACCTAATAATCTCAATTAATGTAAACAGTATATGCCCAATGGGGTATTGGAGGAGGGAGGGAGAGCAAAGGGGAAAGGGATTAAAAAAAGAAACAAGCTACAGTGTGTGCATGTAACCACTCCCCAAGATGACTGTAAACTGCACCAACTGCAAATATGTACTAATAAAATTTAAAAATTTAAATTAGCTGTTTGCTTAAAACCAAAATATTGTGGTCATTATCTGTTATTAAACCACACACAGAGCAAGTTTTTATAATGGAACTGTCCATTACTCTCTGAAGGAAAAAAGGCATGATTTAAAGCAATCTAAGCTGAGTCCCCTCAGAAAGTAAACAACTTTCAATTTTGGTTATAAATCCAAGCTCCCACCTGCTATCATCATAATATGCACAATGGGTTTACTTAAAGTGAGAGAAATCTGCAATGATTTTGACTTTTTCCATTTTTAAGATTTTAACCCACTTTCCTGCTTGGACGGCAAGAGAAAGCAAGCTTGCAATTTAACAAAATGACTAAATCCAGTCTCTCTTTAATCTGCTCAGTAACTTAGCTCTACGGTAATCTTCTGCCCGGCACACGAAAAGAGCTCTAGATTCATCTACTGTAAGCTAAGCTTAATCAGGGAAAGGGTGTGCCAATTTTAATAGCAACTCCTATTTGTCTGGTTTTGCCAACATTTTTTCCCCCAATGTTAATAATATTTAACTGACAAACTACAGTGGAAAAAAGAACTTTAAAAACAATCAAGCCTTTTTTTTTAAAGACACCATGTACAAAGCTTCCTTCAAGAATTACTGAGCTACCCTTCTGGTTGCCATCATTTCCATAAGCATTATTAAGGATGTATTTTCAAAACACTGTAAGTATTTTCCTATTGCTTTTCAACTGGTACTTGTGAAAAAACTCCACACCATACCCACCTGCCTCATCTAGCATGTATATTTTAAGCCTTACTGATAACAGCAAAATGAAGTGATGAGGGCAATCACTGGAACTCAAGCGAAAATGTTTACATGCGGTGCTCTTCTGCCAAAAACAGGGAGGAGGATGCCCTACCCAGACTTCCAACATTCAGAATGCTGAATCTGGTATTTTTCATTTTGCCCAGTATTGACTGTTTATGTCTACAAAGAAAAAACTTTCCACTAAGGAAAAACATTCTAGATTTTTCCCCCCAAGTAATTCCTAACAGCAGATGCTTTGTTCAAGTGCAGGGAGAATTTTAACACCAGGGCTGAATGAAAAGCTCTCTAAGTGACCTCCACCTCCCACCCATTCACTCCAGCCCAGGTATTTTCCTCCAAAATACATACAATACACAATTTCAAAACTTTCCTAACTTGACATTCTGGCCAAAAGAAAAGGAACTAGCCACTCACTGCTGCCACAGGTGAGGTTGGTAAGCCAGGTACCTATTAGGAGCCAGGAAGAGAGCTGAGCGCTTTACACACAATGCCCCCGAGGCGGAGAAGATGCATTACCAATCCTGTGTGGTCGTGGTCGGCAGGCAGGACGGGGTGAGACTGTGTCCCCAACCACAGGCGACCATCTAGGCAGGCTGCTTTGATTTTTAACCTGAGCTGCTTCTCTCCAAAGCGTTTCCTCTCCTGGGGCTCTGGAGAGCTCCCTAGTTAGCAGCTGGGCAGGATGACTTTGCACCTTGAGATCACTTTACTAAATCGAGGTTGAGGGGGAAAGGGACGATCCGGGCTCCCGCAAGTAAGGCACAGGTACCAGGGCGGCGGCCACAGAGGGCCTCGTGAACCTCCCACCTTGTCTGCTCTCCCCACGCCGCGCCCGCGCTCCTCTCCCACACCCGGGAGGAGCCAGGCCTTCCAGGCTAGGGTAGGCACCCTCTCCTTCAGCCGGGGTCCCTCGGACCTGCGCGCGAGTGGGGCGCTGCGAGGCTTGCGCGAAGCTGCAGCCGAAGCTCGGGGTCCACCCAGCCCCTGCTTCCCCACTTCTGGAACAAGTTGAGGAGCTAGCGCGCAGGGGACCACGACCCCAGGGCGGGGCACACGCGGGGGTCCCCTACTCCCCCCCCCGGCAGACCCCGACTCCGGGGACGAAGTGGGCAGCGCTGGGGGAGAGGGAATGGGGGCGACCGCGGGACCCCTCCAGGGAAACGAGCCCGGGGAGGGGGCAGGGTCTCCAAGAGGCCCGAGGTGGCCACCCAGCCTCTGCCCGAGCCACCTCCGCAGGAACAAAGGGCTTCTGTCTCGGGCAGGGAGGCGGGCTCGTCGGGCTGCGGGGCCGAGAAACTTTTCCCGGGCCTCGGGGGGCGGGGGTGCGGGCGGCCCGGGCGTGAGGTCCCTCACCGACCTCCTCGATGGCCGCCACCGTGTTCCGGCACTGGGCCGTGCGCGTGGTGAAGCTGGAGGCCGTGGGCGCCTTGTAGTCCTCAAGGGTCTCGGCCACGAATTCCGACACGGAAATCTGGTCCGGCATCGCCGCGGCGCGCGGGGCCAACGGGCAGCCGCCGCCTCAGGCTGCGACGCCGCACGCTCCGGAGGGCGGACAAAGGCGAGCGCGGCGCGGGAGCCGCCAGGGGCGCGGGAGACGCCAGGGGCACGGCCCGGCGCGGCCCGCAGCTCGGCCGCCGTCCGCCCGCACGCGTGAGCGCCGAGGGCCGCGGCGTCCTCCCCGCGGGAGCACCGAGACGGGCGTACGCAAACAGCCGGCGGGAACTACCCGGCTCCCAGCCGCTCGCCTGAGCGCCTGCAACGGAGAGGGGCGGGGAGGGGGCGGGGATTACGGCGGGAGGGGCCGGGGAGTACAGCGGGATGGGGCGTGGTAACGCGGGTAGCAGGAGGCCAGTAGGTGCGCTCGCCGCCCGACGCTGGGTTGCGGAGCTCTGAAAGGGAGGTGCGCGCCTCAGCTCGCCAGCCACCCCTTGTTATCGGGACGCGTTGTCTCGGCTTTCTCAGGGCGCGCCAGTGTTCCGGGGCGCCCCCGACCCCGCCGCAAGCCCGCCGCTCACGGAATGTGAGGCCCTGGCGCCCCCCGCCCGCCGCGCCCCGATCGGCCAGGGCACGTGCCGGGTGCAGAGGGTCCTCTCTCTCCAGGGCCGGGCCAGAGCCACCTCACTGCTTGCCTACCCCACCCCTGGCGAGGTCCCCCCATGCCTAGAGTCCCCACTCAAACCACAAGGAAGGTCCAGCCTAGCCAGAGGACAGTATATGTCGAGCTCGCCCCCTACAGGACGATGTGCTCCGCCCCGTGACAAGCTCTTCCTGCACCCAGCCTGGCCAGGGGCCAGTTTGGAATGGGTCACGGTGACAAGTAGTGACCATGCAGTGTCTCTTCGATACAAAAAGGCACTACTTCACCCTCACCTGCACCCTTCATGTTGGGCACGATGGCACGCGTTTGTAATCTGGGAGGCTGAAGCAGGAGGATCACAAATTCCAGCCCCAGCCTGGCAGCATGCCCCTCCCTTAAAAAAGAAAAGAAAAGAAAGCCTATGGATGTAGCTCAGTGCAAAGGCCCTGGTTCAATCCCTACTACCACCAAAGGGAGAAGAGGAGGAGGAGTTATGTATAGAAGACAGTTGGCGCAAGAGTACAAGGTAAGAAAAGGCCAAATGGTGATGGACAACAACCACGTCCCTGGACTCTTAAAGGCCCAGTCGTGTTTCGTAGCTAAGTTCCTACAATTACAGGTGTCCTCGGGTACTTGTAGATAGATAGTTTTAGGGTCCTAGGCCAGGCCTCACCCTGGAGAGGTCACCGGACAGGGGGAAATGGGATTCTTGCAGAGGCACCCAGGGGACCCTAGGGAGGGCGGTGTCTGGGGGGTGGGGGGAGCTGCTGCTCCTGGTTGCTCAACAGAGGCAGCAACACCTCCGAACAACCTCAGATAGAGCTGGTCCACGGAACCCTGCATTAGTGCAGATTCTCATTTACAGCTTTTAGGCGAATTCTCATAGCTATGTTAAACATCCAGGAGCTCCCAAGACACCTGACAGATAAAAATCACACCCTATCCCTCCACACCAGGCACGTGGCATGGCTTCTGTGGCTGCTGGCAAGAAAATCAAGAGAAACTTTACAAAAACCTTTTGTGCCTCTGAAGAGGAGGAAGTGGAAGAGACAAACTCTGGGACCTCAGTGGGGAGACAGAGCAGTCTTCTGACTGCAGAAAGGACAGTGGACCAGTCAAGCAATCTTTCTTATGGTCCCATGTAAGAATTTTCTACGTCAGGTGGCAGCTTGGGGCAGACATTATGTATGGCTTTTGGTATTTTAATAGCATTGCATGTAGAAATTTAACTTTCTAAAATAGCTGCATTAGTGAGTAGCTTCGATCACTGCATTAAGCAATGGACTGCAATCTACAAACTGTACATATCTTTGTATCTTTCTTGTATTTATGTTTTTTCATCTATTTAGTGTCTGTGGCAGTTTCCTCTATTTGGAGCTTTCTACAATTCATGTCCAGTGTGTATCATTTATATTAACACATCCCCTCCTACATAGGACAGTTTCTGTTCCCTCCTACCTACTTTTCGAGCTGTAGCCTTTTTACTACTCTTCTTGGTTTGGTTTGGTTTTATTTGTTTTTTTCAGTAACGGGGATCAAACTCAGAATCTTGCGCTTGTGAGGCAAGCACGGTGCCACTGAGCTAAATCCCTGGCCCTACTACTCTTCTTTGAGGTAGGAGAACATCATGGCTAACTCTTCCAGTCTTGAGGGTTTTGTTTGTTTGTTTTTTGGTACCAGGGATCAAACTTGGGTCCTTGCACTTGCAGGGCAGGCAGCGGAACCACTGAGCTAAATCCTCGGCCCCACCTATGAATTTAAATAAGAGACTATAGTCCTATATTATTTCAAAAAGAAGCAAATATATTAATTCATTTCTGTGGCTATCAAAAACACCTAAATCTGGGAACCTTATTTTTTTTTCTTTGGTACCAGGGATCAAACTGAGGACCTTACGCTTGCAAGGCAGGCGGCGGAACCACAGAGCTAAATCCCCGGCCCCAGCTGGGAATTTTATAAACAAGATTGTGAAGCTCATAGGTTTGCGGGGGGCGGGGGGGGGGCGTGAAAGTCCAAGATCAAGCAGCCCCATCAGTTTGGCCTCCAATGAAGGCCGCACAGGGGATGGTGACATAACATTGGGATCACCTAGGCCAGGGATTTAGCTCAGTGGTTTCGCTGCCTGCTGCGCAAGCGCAAGGACCCGAGTTCGATCCCTGTACCAAAATACATGATGTTGGGTATCTGTAAATAAAAGAAGCTCATTTAGCTTATAGTGAAAGTCCAAGATCAAGCAGCCCCATCAGTTTGGCCTCCAATGAAGGCCGCACAGGGGATGGTGACATAACATTGGGATCATCTAGGCCAGGGATTTAGCTCAGTGGTTTCGCTGCCTGCTGCGCAAGCGCAAGGACCCGAGTTCGATCCCTGTACCAAAAAAAAAAAAAAAAATGATTACAGAGCATCTCACTGGTTCTGAGAAACAGAAAGATCATTCACTGGGCACAAGCCTTAAGATGGTACTCAAGTCTCAGGGCCACCACAACTCCATATCTCACTTTATAAAGCCACTAAGCCTCCAGGAGGCGGCTGCCTTGGTGTTTTGAAAATAGGGGCATGTAAATAAAAATAGGAGCTTATTTTAAAAAAAAAGAAAAACAAGCTCCTGCTCTCAGGAGTTTGCAGCTGGTTTCAGGAAATAAGAACACAAACACAGGAAGCAGGGCCACAAAGAGAATGAGAGTGGTGAGCCACTGCTCCATAGGAGGCTGGCTCTGAACAACAACCAGGGAGGGAGGAAGGAGGGGGCCCTGAATGAATGAACCACCACGAGCCCACCAACCCCAGGTGATGGGCACAAAACAAGGGCTGGGTCTGACAACACCCTGCTGCAAGTCCTTCCCAACTCACAGGGCACAGTGCCACTCCCTGCTGGTCCCTGCCTCTGGCCCTTCTCCCCTGTGAGGCTCTCCTCTACTCCATCCCCAGCCCCAGGACATACCCAGCTCCATTCAGCCCAGCTCTGTTCAGGCCACTGACTACCGAGAAGCCTGAGAGCTCCCTGCAACCCCAAGCCAGTCCCCTGTGCACAATCTCAGCTCTGGCCCATGTGTTTCCTGGATTCACTACTGACCTCAAGATATAAAAGTGGGACAGAGAGGCAAAGGCGAAGATATGGGTTCCATGTCACGTAAATCCCTAAGAAGAAAAGGCTGCTCCCATGGGTAGCCAGTGCATGGTCACTGGGGCAGGCAGATGTTTCCACAGGGCCGTGTGACACAGACAAGTGACTCTAAGGCCCCTTACAATCTAAATATTCTGTCCCAGGCAGACTCTGGCCCTCCATCTCCTCCAACCCAGTGTGCTAACCCAAAGGAAAGACAAATTTTTCCCATAAAGGCCCAGCTGGGAAATGTTTTAGACTTTGTGAGCTACGCAGACCCATCTCCGCTGCATATTCCTTGGGCTTTTGCTTTTGTTTTTCCCCACAACCCTTAAAAAATCATAAATACGGGCCAGGGATTTAGCTCAGTGGTTCTGCTGCCTGCCTTGCAAGCACAAGGACCTGAGTTCGATCCCCGGTACCCCCCCCAAAAAAACCCATATATACCGTTTTCAGCTTATGTTTTTCACATGCTAAAACATACACCTCAACTCAGACTAGCCCTCCCACATCCTCCTCAGATGAGATTCCCACAGAGGGAAGCCAGGACCACACCCCAGCACAGAAGGGACACCTAGAGCTGTGTGGGCGCCACCATGCTCTGTAGCTGTGGAACCACTCTGTGCTTCAGAGCACAGACACCAGGTCTGTCCCAGCGATGTTCCATGGATGGATGAGGGACGGACAAACAGATGGATGGACAAAAAGGCCACACAAACTGAGGCAAAGAGAAGTCACCGCAAGAATTCAGAGAAGCTGGGCACGGTGGTGCACACTTATAATCCCAGCACTCAGTAGGCTGAGGCAGGAGAGGAGGATCATCATGAGTTCAAGGCCTGCACTACGGTGAGTTCAAGGCCAGCCTGAAGAACATAGCGAGACCATCTCAAAAAAAAAATCAAAGAATAAAATGGTTCTGATGGATGGGGAATATTAGGGAAAATTTATGGGAGAAAAGATAGGATCAATATATCTTTCAATGAAGAAATTAGGTATTAATTGCAGTGCTTTATAGAGCAGAGATTCAATAATTTTTTTTAAAGATTTCCCTCTTTCTCTAATTGTTTCAAAGGATGACATGACAACCTTGATTCTGCCAACCAAAATGAGTTCATTTCCAAACATACAGCAAGTCTTTTAAATGAAAGTCATGGGCTGGGGATGTAGCTCAGTGGCGCCACACCCAGAAAAAAAAAAAGTCATCCCAGATGCAGTGGCACACACCTGTCATCTCAGCCCTCAGGAGGTTGAGGCAGGAGGACTGCCATGAGTTCAAGGCCAGCCTGGGCTACAAAGTGAGTTCAAGGCCAGTTTGAATGACACAGCAAGACCCTGTGTCCAAAAAAGAAAAAAGTGAAGCAACCACAAAATCAAGACTACCTGGCTCTGGACAGTCAA